CTAAGGGTTTGGGACAAGCTTCTCCTGCATTTCTCTGGCCGTTTTGCGTTTCCCTCCGTTGCGGTGTTGTCCTTATTTCCTTTCGATTTTCTCTTCGCCCATATTCTAGACGCTGCGCGTCACCCCGCCAACCCATCCAGGAACGATGCCAAAACGTTTTTTTTTTTTTTTTTTTTTTTTTTTTTTTTTTTTTTTTTTTTTTTTTTTTTTTTTTTTTTTTTTTTTTTTTTTTTTTTTTTTTTTTTTTATATTTTTTTTTTTATTTTTTTTTTATTTTTTTTTATATATATATATATTGTTTTGTTATTTTTTACATGTATATATAAATAATAATAAAAATGTTGTCTTCTTCTTCTCTTTCCTCTCAAGCACTGGCGGCAAACAACGGATGCATTTGAGAGGCGTTTTATTCCTCACTTACAGCCACTGCGAAGTAATATACATCATCCCAGCCCCACCAGCTGGACACTCACACCATGAGAAAGTTAACAACACTGAGGAACGGGGTGCGCCATGTGCCTGTACCCCCCGAGGCCTAGACAGCCGTTCACACGTTCCACATGAGCGAGCTGGAAGATACAGAATGGCCCAACCAGCCAATTCACAAAAACCATCACGTCATGATATAGGACGCGGGAGGGGGGAAGAGGGGGGGGAAGGAGGAGGAAAACACAACGCCCACGCAATGGGGACCAAGCTGAGGCTCCATGCGGAGCTCCGTGAGTCACCACGCAAGCCTGCACGCCAACGAATTGCAGTGCACAGTGTGATATGCAAGTGAAGACCTGTAAAAGCGAAGCGCCAACTCAAGACGCGAGGAAACTGGGCGAGCAACGCACACCAGAAACTAGGAGACAACATAACTAAGTTGTGCGGACGCGGCATGGCCGCCATCAGACGCGCAGGCGCCAGCGACGGTGCGGGCCAGGAGCGGCCCCCTACGGGAGCGGCTCGCAGGACCGGGCGGCCAACGGCCAACCCGCAGCCCCTGAATGCACTGGGCGCCCCAGGCGCCAATTGAGGAGGCAGAGGGGGGAAAGGAAAAGGGCAACGCGCGAGGCGAGGACGCGCTAAAAAGCAGCAGCGCCGACCGACGCGAAAAGACGCGGAAGCCTCAGGGAATTACGTAGGAGTCGGCCTTGAGGATCATAGCGCTCAGCGTCAGCGTGCCGATGGTACTGCAGCCAGACGCCGAAATCGTGGTGGCCGTCGTAACCCTTGATCTGGCCTTCGAGGTCGTGTCGCCAAGCGTCGTCGTTGCGCTGGCACCGGAGCCACTTGTCGAACACCTGGTGGCCAGTGTAGCCCCGCAGCTGCTGGGCGTCGTGGCCGTGCCGCCTGGTGATGTTGAGCCGCTGGTACTGGTCGACGTGGAAGCGCCCGACACCGAAGTGAAATATTCCTCCTGCTGCTGAGGCGGCGATGGCTGTCTGACTGTGCGGCTGCAATGATGCTGGTACCCGTCACGGTGTGCATGTACTCGTCCTCAACTGGATGTCGGGGTACTGCGACGGAATGGGTGCGTCAGTCTGGCCAGAAGCAAGGATACCGCCACACAGTGCTGGTCACTCGTAACGGTCTGAACGACATGCGAAGCCAGCGAGCCAAGATTCCGAAACAACGATGCCGCCACACAGTGGGATCCAGGTGGTGGCCGTCGGATCCCTATCCTGGAGTTGCTGGTCGTCGTGGACAGCCGATTCAGGAGGATGGGCTGGCATCCCCCAAAAACGTCGGGTAGGGCGTCGGGTAGGGCGACGGGTGGGGCGTCGGGAAGGGCGTCGAGTAGGGCACTGGGCAGGGCGCCGGGTAGATGCTAGCCGTCATGCTCGTGACGCTCAGTGTCGTCGTGCCGGCGCTGGTGCCAGAGCTACTCGTCGATCTCGCGTTCGCACTCGTCGAACTCGTGGTGGTTGTGATAGTCGTGGAGCTGCTGATCGTCGTGCTCATGCCGCTGGTACCGGAGCCACTCGTCGAGCTCATGGAGGTCGTCGCATCCTGGGCTGCGCTGGTGGCTGCACTGGCGGGTGCAGGGCTGGCCTGCAGTGGGGCCCATCTGCTCGGTCCCGTTGGTCGGAGTCCCAGTGTTCCGTCGTCGTACCCCGACTGGGTGCCAGAATCGCGTTGTAAGTCCCCAAATTGCTGCTGACGCCGTTCTGCATGACGCAGCCGCACTGCTCACGGGGCTGTGCTGCTCGTGGCGCCCGTCGTGTTGCTCAAGGCGTGCGCATCGACGTAAGCCGGCGAGCGTTACGACAAGGCGAGGGCGGAAACCGTGACACGTCCAGGCGGGTATTCCGTGACATCACGAGGCCCCCAGTGCGGCGAGCGTCATAGCAAAGGTCGTCGCGAGTCTGATCGGGGGTAACATGTCGTAGCCCATGTGGGTGGTGGCGGCGTAGGTGCCAGCGAAGGCGCAAGCGTTGATTCCGGCGTCAGTGCTGGCGTGGGCGCACGCGCGGGTGCTGGTGTAGGCGCTGTCGTTGGTGCTGGCGTCTGTGCTGATGCAGGCGCTGGCGCTGGTATCAGCTGGCGCAGGCGTCGGTGCTGGCGTCGGCGCTGGCAGCGGCGCTGGAGGAGGCGCCGGCGTTGGGGCTCGCGTCCGTGCTGGCGTCGGTGTTGGCGCAGGCGCTGACATTGGTGTCGGGTGTCGGCGTCGGCGTCGGTGCCTGCGTCTGCGCTGGTATGGGCGATGGCATTCGTGCTGGCGTTGTCGCCAGTGTTGGTGCTGGCGTTCGTGTTGGCGTCGGCGCTGATGTAGGCGCTGGCGATGGTATTAGCGTAGGCTCAAGCGATAATGCTGGCGTCGGCCATGGTCAGAAACCGGCGATAGTTCTGGCGTCGGTGCTGGCCGGGGTTGGTGACGGCACTGGCGATAGTGCTGGCCTAGGCGACAGCGTTGGTGCTGGCGACGGTGCTGGCCTCGGCGCTTGCGTAGACGCTGGCGCTGGTGCCAGCGGAGGCGCAGGCGAGGATGCTGGCGTCGGAGCTGGTGTCGACGCTGGCGTAGGTGCTGGCGTTTGTGCTGGCGTCGGTGTACGTGCAGGCGCCGGCGTTGGTGCCTGCAGGCGTTGATGCTGGCGTCGACACTGGAGGTGCCGGCGTTGGAGCTCACGTCCGCGCTGGCGTCGGCGTCGGTGTAGGCACTGGCGTCGGTGCCGGGGTAGGGGCAGACGTTGCTGCTGGCGTCGGTGCTGGTGTCGACGCTGGCTGAGGCGCCAGCATTGGCGTCGGTGCTGGCAACGGTGGTCGGCGCGGGCGCGGCATTCGCGCTGGCTTCCATTCTGGCGTCGGCGCTGGTGTAGGCGCTGGCGTTGCTGCTGGCCGAGGCACAGGCCTTGATGCTGGCGTCGGTATTGGCGTCGGCGCTGGATTAGGCGCCGACGATAGCTCTGGCGTCGGTGCTGGCGCTGCTGGCGTCGGGGCTGCTGTAGGCGGTGGACGTAACGGTCTGGACGTATCAGGGATCGGGGATGTGGAGAAGCATGCAGTGTAAAGGGCTGAGGCCTCATCATGCCTTTCGGAGTCTCTTCGGATGTCGTTCGAGATCTTCTTAGAATTCTCTTGGGGCGTCTTGGAGGTTTCTTAGCAATCCCTGGGGCCTCTTGGCGCATCTTGGGTGTCTCTGGGGGGCCTCTTGGGGCCTTTGGGGGGTCTCCCGGGAGCCTCTTGGAGACATCTGTGGGGCGTCTCGGGGGACTCTTGGGGCCTCCTGGGCACCTCTTGGGGCTGTCTTGGGGCACCCTTGGCAGCCTCGGGGGCCATCGTGGGGCCATTTGGGAGGAGATCGATCAAGAGCCGGGCCGTCCTGACTATGCCCTCTCCCCAGGAGGCCGACGTGGTGCCAAAACCGTCTATGAAATCTGTGATTTTGGTTTTCTCGTCGAGGCCTCTTGTGGCGTCTTGGGTGCCTCTGGGGGGGGCCTCTTGGGGGTCTCTTTGGAGCCCCTGGGGGGCGTCTTAGGGGGACTCTTGGGGCCTCCTGGGCACTTCTTGCCCTTGGGGGCCTCGGGGGGCGGGACATCCTGGGCAGCTGGGACGTGCGGCTCCTCGGCACAAGCTGACCGGCCGCGGGGAGGCACGCCAGTGCCCCAACCCCCTACGCCCCTCCGGAGGGCCGGGGTCGTGCGCAGCTCGGCGTCTAATTACAGAGCCGCCCAGCGGCATCCGGAGACGGCCCTTGCCTCCATTGCGGGGCAACGGTGTGCATGGACGGGGTTGTGCCCTGTCGCCGGCGGCCAGAGGAGGGCCTGCCGTAGAGACTGCGGGTTTGGGGCCCCGGGCCGCAGGGGGAGAGTAGAAGAAGAAATAACCCACATAAACATAAACTTTTGCCGCTCCGCGCGGCGCTGGAGGCGCCGCCGGGGGGGCCCAGGCGCGGATCCAACAAATCCGCGCGGAGCGCCAAAGTTCATGTTTATGGAAGAGAGGTGCCCCATGTTGCGGGGGGTTCTGCTCGTCGACCTCCTCTTCTCTGGGGGCTCGCCCAAATTCGGCTTGTATAGCTTACTTAATTCCCGATGGCACCGAAGCGTGCCCCTTTCACGTCTTATCAGTGCGACGCTGATATCCTCGACTTGTTGGGGCCTCCCCCCTGCGCGCTGACGGGGGCCTGGAAAGGCGGTGGCCGCAGTCTCCTCCTCGGCTGCCAGCTGCCCTGCCGGGGCTTTTCACAGTTGATTCCGCCCTGGGGTGGCCACGATGCTGCTCTAGGGCGGTTTCCTCTCAACCCCAAATTACAATTCGCGGCCTTCGGCAGAGGGCGTGTAGGCCTTTAGGCAGCCTGTCGTCATCAACAACAAAAGGAGTCTCGGGGGCCATCTTGGGGCCATCTTGGAGGAGATCTACCAAAGGAGGGGGGCTCCTGCATCAGAGTCCCTCCTCAGGAGGCCAACATGTGGCTAGAACCTTACTGCAATCTGATTCTGAGACCACAGGGAGGTCATACCGATTTTGCGATGAAGGGGGCAGGGATCATTGGGAGGGTCTGAGTGCGTTGCCTGCCGGCATCTGGTGATCATGATGCTCGTTCGCGTGCGCGGGCCCTAATCACACAAGAAACCAGCAGATCCCCCAACGGGCCCCCGACCCGCCTCTGGCAGACTCGCCTTTTGACCCTGCGCCAAGCCTGGGCACTAGACCGTCAGAGAGGCGCTCGTCGCACAGCGCGATGGAGGCCCTCGCCTGGCGCTGGTGCGGCCACGGAACGGCCTCGGCTGCTCGGAGCAGCGGCGGGAGGAGAAAGACCGGCCGTGGCCCAGGCGGCCAAGGCGCTCACGAGGAGCTCACGAACTGCCGCGCCAAGGTGCGAACGAGGAGCTCTCACGGCGCTCACGAGCTGCTGGCGCCGAGATGCCAATGGGCCAAGGTGCTCAAGAGCTGCCGTCGCCGAGGCTGAACATCCGGGTGTGGAACTCCACGGCGTTCTCCGAGACCTCGCTGCCGTCGATCTCCGTCTCGAAGACGGGCGGGCGTTGCCAGCCCTCGGAGCACTCGCTCTCGTGGCAAGACTCGTCGTCCGCGCCGTCGCCGTCGCGTGCGAGGTCCTCAGTGGTCTCCTCATCGTCTGGCTCTTCGGCGTCGTCGAGCTCCTCCGCGTCCTCCTCCTGTAGAGGGCCCCCCCAGCTGGGATCCGAGCAAATCGGGTCGGAGGATCGCGCCGCACTGCCGATGCGTCGCCACTGCGTCGGCGCCGTCGGCGATGCGTCGGCACGGAGAGGATCGGGTTCCACATCGAGCCGCATCGCCGATGTACATCAGAGGTGCGGCGCGATCCTCCGACCCCCTCCTCCTCCTCCTCCTCCTCCTCCTCCTCCTCCTCCTCCTCCTCTTCCTCCCCCTCCTCCTCCTCCTGCTCCTCCTCCTCCTCCTCCTCCCTCCTCCTCCTCCTCCTCCTCCTCCTCCTCCTCCTCCTCCCTCCTCCTCCCCTGGATCCTCGGCGCCCTCCAGCCGGCTGCCCGTGATGCGCACGGAGGCGATCTCCGCGAACGCTGCGTGCAGGGCGTCCCCGTCCTCTGGCGCCACGGGCCCGAACTTCCACAGCTCCCCGTGCTCCCTCGTCCCGACCGGCCGCGGCTCGGGGAGAGCAGTGCTCCTTGCTCCCCCCGGGGGGAGCCTGTCGCATCGACGACCTCTCGGAAGATCGGGCGCACGCTGAGGCTCTTCGAGCGGGGCTGGCCGTCGAGAGTGGTGAAGGATGGGCCGAAGATGACCGAAGAGGCAGGGATGCAGGGGTACCCTCGGGAAGGTGGTCTTTCTTCCTATGCGGGTTGACTGCAACATGGGTTGCGGATCCGTGTAGTTATGTGGCGCGTGGGCACCAGATCCACGGATCGGGCAGGGTGTATCCCGAAACCCGTCGCCAGTGCCGTCTCGTTGGGCGACGGAGCGGCCGACTCTGTACGGGGACGGGGCCCGTCGCGGATTCCGCGCGGCGCTGATCCTTATCTCGTTTCCTCGACCGCTTCGGTGCCCCACCCGAGACCCCGAGGATGGGCGCCGAAGACGATGAACCCCCAGGGAGGCAAGGGCCACCGCTCGGAGGAGGGCCAGCTGAGACACTGGCGGCGGCTCTCACGCCCCACCCAAATCTGCTCCAGTCCCCGGACCCACCCCGAGGTCCATCCTGACCCGATCTCCGAGGCGGACACGGCCGTGGCGACGAGAGAACTCCAGGACCCCCTCCCCCCCAAAGCAGGGGCTCGGCAGGGAGGGCCGCCGCTGTCTCGACCGGCCCTCCTCCGCACGGCTCCCCCGAGCTGTGGCCGGTCTGCCTCTCGAATTCGGCCAGGAGCACGGCCCACTCGTCCGCTTCCGCCCCGCCGCCCGCCGCCGCGCTGCCCGTGGCCGCACACAGGACCACGGCCCGCACCGGTCGCAGCCTGGCCCTGCTGTGGTGGCGCATCTTCTCCACCGAGAGGCCCAAGGCCGCCAGCTGCCCGGGCAGGGTGGGCCTGTCGACCCTCATGGAGCAGAAACAAATGCATGAACATACACTTTCAGAGATCCGCGCGGACTTCTTGGATCGCCGCCGGGCCCCCCTCCCGTGTGCGCCGTCAGGGGGAGCCAAGCGCCGATCCAAGAGATCCGCGCGGAGCTCCGGAAGTTTATGCTTGTACAGTTTCTCCTTTCTCGACCTCAGCAGGGTGACCACGGTGGTGCTCAGGGTCTCCTGGCGGTTGCTACACTTCGGGACGTCCTGCGTGAACGCCATGGGGTGAAACACCAACTTCGCCAGCTTCCTCATGCCAGGCACTCGGGCGACCAAGGGGTTTTCGATCACGGCGAGGCAGCGCCAGGCGCTGGGATGCTGGCGGCGCGAGATGCCCATGCTCTCGTCCACAGCTGCCCCCCACGCGTGCATCCGCACGGCCTCCAGCCCTGCTCCCGCTGCACCCGACGCCTCGCCAGCTGCTCCCGGGTGGTCCTGCAGCTCCCCGCTGTCCTCCCTGTCGAGGAGCCCCCTTGGGAGGGAGCTCGCCGCGGCGGAGCCGCAGACCTTCTGGACCACGAGCTCCGCATCGGAGCCCTCGCCCAGCACTGGGAAAGTGAACCGGTACTGCACGTCCTCCTGCGTGGGCGAAGCACATATCCGTATCCGTTGCCTCGCGGGCCGGGCCCCTGCGCCGAGACCCCGCGGATGCGGGGCGCGTCTTCGCGGATGCCCTGCGCAGAACGCATCCGTGCGACCGCACATCCGCAGGATCGCGCCCAGGAGTGCAGACCGCGAAGGCGTGGATCTGCATACATTTAGGTCGAGCATGTCCCCCTACAGGCGGATTTTGGACGAAAAATGCAACATAGTAAAAACAAATACAACATATTGCAAAAATTGTCAAAAAATCATCCCCTGACTATTTCCAAACCATCCTGTGGTGTTGGGTCCTCGTTTTGAACAGACAGCGCCCGCGTCCTCCCGCTGCCCCCCCTCCCTCTCCCCATCATCAGCATCACCGTCACCACCATCATCAGTTCGGCACACCCCTCACACGGTTCATGGCCCCATAGAGAGCTCCACCGAAGGCCCCAATGGCTGCGTCCTCATGCGTCACCGCAACCCAATTCGGCACACCCTTCACACGGTTCGTGCCCCAATACAGAGCTCCACCGAACGCCCCAGTGGCTGCGTCCTCATGCGTCACCGCAACCCATTACGGGACACCCCTCACACGGTTCGTGGCCCCATAGGGAGCCCCACCGAAAGCCCCCGTGGCTGCGTCCTTATGCGTCACCGCCACCCATTACGGCACACCCCTCACATGGTTCGTGGCCCCATAGGGAGCTCCACTGAAAGCCCCAATGGCTGCGTCCTCAGGCGTCACCGCCACCCAATTCGGAACACGCTTCACACGGTTCGTGGCCCCATAAGGAGCTCCACCGAACGCCCCAATGGTTGCGCCCTCATGCGTCACCGCCACGGATTACGGGACAGCCATCACACGGTTCGTGGTCCCATAGGGAGCTCCACCGAAGGCCTTAGTGGCTGCGTCCGCATGCGTCACCGCCACCCAGGACAGCGCTTCGTGGCCCCATAGGAGCTCCACCGAAGGCTCCAGTGGCAGGGTCCGCATAGTTCACCGCCGCCCTGGACAGCGTTTCGTGGCCCCATAGGGAGCTCCATCGAAGGCTCCAGCGGCAGCGTCCGCATGCGTCACCGCCACCCAGGACAGCGTTTCGTGGCCCCATAGGGAGCTCCACCGAAGGCTCCAGCGGCAGCGTCCACATGCGTCCGCGCCACCGATTTCGGCGCACCCCTCGCACGCTTCGTGGCCCCATAGGGAGCTCCACCGAAAGCGGTACCCACAATGCGGCACTCGCAGTTGCATTGGTTTCCTTCGTCCGGCTAATTTTAGCTGAATCTCCCCCCTGTAGAGGGACAGGCCCGACTTAAGGATACATTCGTCGCTCGTGACTCCTCCACCTCCGGCACCTGGGAGAGGAAGTTGATCCGCCCCGCCATCAGTGGCGCGGCCTTCCTCGCCCGGCGCTTCGCGTCCCGCCTTGCTGCGTAGGCCGCCGTCCGCGCGTCCTCGACGCGCCCCTCCTCGGGAGCGGGAAGACGAGTGGCGTAAGCATGGACTTTTTCGGAGGTCCGCGCGGCCTTTTTGGATCGGTGCTGGGAAACCTCCCTTTCCCGGCGCGCAGGGGGGTCGGAGTATCGATGACACGCCGCTGTGGCTGGCCTGTCAGCGCGCCACTTCTTTCTTTCTCTCCGAAGGCCTGGTGTTTCGTCGACAGTAACACGCAAGCTGGGTCCCCCACGGCGGCGTGTCATTGATATCTACTTGCGGTCGGTAGTTCGAAGATGGGGTCCTGAGGGATGGGGCCCTAAGGACGAGGAACCTCGAACAATGTACATCCACCCTTGGACCCCTTCCTATCCTCAGGTCCCCATCCCTCAAAACCCCATCTTTGAACCACCGATTTGGCTCTCTGGCCAGCGCCGATCCGACACGTCCGCGCGGACCTGTGTCCTGCCCTTCTCCGATCCTCGGCCGCCGCAGCGCCGGCCCCGACTGCCCCGGAGCTGCCGAGCGACGCGAGCTGGGCCCGGTAGGCCTCCTCGCGGGCGCGCATGCCCGGGTGCTCCGACGTCAGCGCCCAGATCGCCGGCGCGCCCGTCGACGGCACTGGGGCCGCCCGCTGCGGTGGCTGCAGCACACCTGCACGCACAAGGCATCTGTACACCACCACCGTACCAAGCCAGGGCCATCCTGGCCCTGGCCTGGCACGGTGGTGGTGTGTAGATGCCTTCGTCGGAACCTGCGTCTGCCGTGCGCTGGGGCGGCTCGGCGGCGGCGCCCACGCCGCACAGGTCTGCATCGGCGTCCCGCGCAGGGATCATCTCATCGGGTCCTCCTGCGGCTCCAGCACGCCGCTCGAGCGCCCATGGCGTGGCCCGCAGCGCGCGGGCGGAGCGGCGGGGCGGGGCCCCCGCCAGTGCCTCCTCTCCGCGGAGCGGAGGCCCGAGGGCGGCAGAGGGCCCCAGAGCCCCCTTGAGCTCCAGGGGCTTCGAGCAGCCGCAACCACTCGGCGGCGGGCCCGGGGGGGAGGTGAGGAGGGGCGGGCCTTCTCAGAAGGCTCGGAAGTCCCCCGCCTTCCGAGACGTCTTCTGAGCTGTATGCGAAGGCACAGGAAGCTTCTCAGAAGGCGCGAGGGCCTCTGAAAATTCCCGCTGCCTTCTGAGAAGGCCCTGTCCTTCTCACTTCCTCCCCTCGCTCGCCGCCGAACCACGACCGCGAGATATATCCGAGAGGTGTGGGTCAACACTGATTGGCCACCCGTCTCGGGCGGCCCGAACGTGGTGCCTGCTAGAATTCGAGAATGAACCTTGGAGGAGAAACATGTATCTGTATGTCCCACAACATGCGCTCTGACCGAGAAGTCCAACCATTTTTGCCAAGAGCGGGCCCGACTAGTGGTCGGCTCCCCTTTGGGAGGCCCGAGTTCATTGCCTGTCAAAATGTAGTGGCCGTGAAACTTTGTGGGTCAGAGGGCCTGGGGTTTGGCAGCCCAGTGACCCTGCAAACGTGGCGACGAGGAACGATGGAAGATTTGCAATTGCGCCACACTGCGATGACGCCTGCTCGCAAGACCTCCTTGGCGCAAGGCACCAGACGTTACGGACAACAACCTTCTGGCGTCGGCGACCCAGTGCAACGCTGCGGTCTTCCCGACGGCCGCCTGCGTGAATGCCCTGCGTTCAAACGGCTCCAGCAGGACACGACAAGCACAAGACCGATAGACAGAACAACACGACACGACGGACGAAGAAAACCGACAGACACGACAGACGCGACAGACACGACAGACGCAGCCTCCGCAGTACGCATACAAGCGTGTGACCGCGCCGATCGCAGGGTGTCCCAGCACTCAAAAAGCACATCTGGGGCAATCAGAAGGCAGTCGCAAATCAAAGCAAGCAGTGCTGCCAATAATCGTATAGCGTGCAGGCTCAAACCACCTTCGTCGATTTTCCCGCCCATGAAATGGCTACGCGATCCGTGGACTGAGAAAGTATCCCAATTGACAAGATTAATTCGCCGGCCCAACGGGCCAGAGGCGTGCTAAGATCTCCGGTAACTGGTTAACAATTCTCTAGTTCGCGCGCGCGGGGCGGCCCCTGGGGGCCCCCGGACGAAAAATACCCCGGGCGACTCCCGGCTGATCCCCGGGCGACTCCACCAGAGCGCCCCATGAGCGCACCAACAGGGCTCCGAGACGTCCCCGAGAGCCCCAAGAAAGGCCAAGAGGCCCCCAAGAGGCCCCCAAGATGGTACACGAGGGGTCCGACATGCCACAAGATCGCTCCAAGACGCCCAAGATAGCCCCCAGACGCCCCAAGAGGCCTCCAAGAGCACTCCCAAGAGGGCCCCCGGAGGCAAAATTCATTGTTTTTCCTTAGGTTTTTGAAAGATTTTGGAGCTTCCACCTTTTCGGCTTCCCGACGCCCCAAGACGGCCCAAGAGGCCCCCAAGATCGCCCCAAGAGGGCCCAAGAGGCCCCCAAGAGGGCCCCAAGATGGCCCAAGAGGGCTCGAAGACGGCCCAAGAAGCCTCCAAGACGGTCCAAGAGGGCCCCAAGAACGCCCCCAAAGTGGCCCCAGAGAGGGAACACGAAACAACATTTCGAGCCCTCGGCCCTAAGAAGCCCCCACGAGGCCCCAAGAGGCCCCTAAGAGGCCCCAAGAGGCCCCCACGAGGCCCTCAGGAGGCCCCCAAGAGTCCCCCAAGCGGCCCCAGGAGGCCCCCCAAATGCCCCCCCGAGCGCCCCAGGAGTCCCCCAAGCGGCCCCAGGAACCCCCAAAGCGCCGCATTGACACCAGGCCCTCGGGCAAACGGCAGACATGAGACTGTATGGGCCGGCGGAATGAGCGAAGCGATTAAATAACGCTGCATAGCAGGGCACAAACACTTTTGCGTAAGACTTAACCAGTGTGTAAAACGCTGCATGGTGTTTGTGTTGCTCGGCCTCAGTCTGTGCAAACCGCCTGCGCAATGTAAATGCCCCCCCGAAATCGGGGACATCGGCCCCGTGCTTTTCAACATCCATGCCCAGGAAAAGCGCACAAAGGACCCTCGCGAAAATGTCAGCTCGTCCACAAAACTTGAAACACTTCAGACTGCGCACCTCACTTACCAACAAACCAGCCATGTCTGAACTTCCGCAACACGTCGCAACGACAACCGTGTTGAAGCAACATTTGTTTCCTCGGATTGCATCGGCGAAGATCCGTCAGAGAAACCAGGCTACTTCGTAACATCGTAGGTCAAATAAAGCTACGACGCTGCAGAACATCCTTTTTCGGTACTCCGCTCTCCCATCCACTGTGCCGTTCTGTTGAACAAGTTTCTGTGGAACTCACGTCATCTGGACCTCCAGCGCGTGAGAAAATTAGGCCCCATGCACCGCACCCCCAGGGACTGTCTCCCCGGGAGTGCCCTGGGCGCACCTGGCGCGCCGGGCTGGCAGCGTGGCGACGAGGAGCACGGGCAACACACGCAAAGCGGCGACGAGGGACGCCGGCGTGGCATGCGAGGAGCGCCAGCCCGGTCCGGAGCTCTCGCTCGAGACATCCTCGCAAAGGCGGCCCCCGGGTGCGTGAGAGAGTCCGGCCCCGCCGCGCCCCCAGGGACCATTTCCAGGGAGCGCACCGGGCGCGCCGGACGCACCCCAGGCCAGGGCTCTCGCTGGAGACATCCTCGCAAGGTCGCTGGATCGCTCGCCGACGGAGGCACCCAGCAGTTGGAGGAGGAAGTGAGAAGGAGGAGAAGGAGGAGGAGGAGGAGGAGGAGGAGGAGGAGCGACCGTGCCGAATGAGTCTGGACCTACAGCGCGACAGTGCGCTCAGCAACCAATGGCGGTCTTCGCTGCTGCCAGGATCGTGTAATGAAATGTGGGGGTGGTTGGAGCGCTCCCTCGTGCATCGTACTCTGCCTTCAATTTGTGGTATATGCGAAACGCCAAAACGTTTACCTTATTCAAACGAGCACGTGGATACTCTCGCTCAGGATCGGGTTCCATCCCCAGACCGAGGCGAGTGAAGGGGGAGGCGGGCAAGTGACCACGAGGAAGAGCTCGCAGGTGAAGCAGGCTAGGACAGAAAAGGTAGCGGCTGAAATCAACAACTGGCTGGGGCCTCGCATCCGAAAAGACAAGGCTGGCGGTCCATGGATGGGATCCGCGCTGATGCAGTCTCAGCTCCAGCCGAGGTCTCTAAGTGGGATCATGCCTAGGAGCACGGGGATCTCGCAAGAATCCTCCGGAGCCCGATCCATCGCAGGCTGATCTCATGCTCCGAGAGTTGGGGGAAGTGGGGGAGCCAGGAGCAGATGCGACGACGGAGAAGGAAGAGGGCACGAGGTCGGGGAACCAAGATGGCCGCGGCGATCGAGCGAGCACTCGCCGTGGGCGGGGGCGGCGGCCGTCCGTCCCTGGCTGTGCGGAGCTCCACGCCGGCCGCGGCCGCACTCTCTCCCTTGCCATGCGTGCTTTGGCGGCGCGCAGAGGGGGGTAGGGGGAGGGGGGAAGGCTTCTTAGAAGCACCCCTGCTTCTTAGAAGGCGCGGGCCTTCTCTATAGACGTAAGGCCGAGGCCTTCTAAGAAGCAGGGCGCTTCTAAGAAGACTTGCCCCCTTCCCCTACCCCTTTTTGCGCGCCGCCAAGTGCTGGGGGATGCCCACGGGGGGAGCAGAGGACCGCGAGGCAGGGTCTTCGACTGTGCGGGCACGGCTCCTGTACCATTATGTCGGGCGTGTCCCCCTACAGGGGAATTTTCAACGAACATGATCGACCCACGAACCCGGAAAGGAATATAGAAGTGTAAGACATGGCAACGTTTCAAAGACACCTGACTGGGCGACGGGTAAATGCAATGCTGAATGTATCGAACTTGATGTACCGTGCCGACGGCTGTGCCGTGCTACGCCGTGCTGAACTGCCATGTGCCATGCCGCGATTGTGCTCGATATATAGCGTTGTGGATCGAGTCCTCGTTGCCACCGAGTCCTGACCGAACTGATCTGGATCTTAAGCTCGAGTTGCCTGAGCAGATGGTAGCTGCCCCAGAGCTAATCGACAGACGTGACATACCAGGAAGACGCGCCGCGGAACGTCCCAAGGGACGCGCCAGGCGACGTGCCAGGGGACGTGCCATGGGCACGCACCGCGGGACGTGCCAAGGGGGCGCGCTGCGGAACGTGCCAATGGACGTGCCGCGGGACGTGCCAGGGGACGCGCCGCGCGACGTGCCAGGTGGACTCGCCACGGAACGCACCAAGGAACGTGCCAAGGTGCAATGTTCAGTGTATCGATCTTGATGTACCGTGCCGAAGGCTGTGCCGTGTTTGGCCGTGCTGAACTGCGATGTGCCATGCCGCGATTGTGCTGTATATATAGCGTTGTGGATCGAGTCCTCGTTGCCACCGAGTCCTGACCGAACTGATCTGGATCTTAAGCTCGAGCTGCCTGAGCAGATGGTAGCTGCCCCAAAGCTAATCGACAGAGGGGACATGCCAGGAAGACGCGCCGCGGAACGTCCCAAGGGACGCGCCAGGCGAAGTGCCAGGGGACGTGCCATGGGGACGCACCGCGGGACGTGCCAAAGAGACGCGCTACGGAACGTGCCAATGGACGTGCACCGCGCGACGTGCCAGGTGGACTCGCCACGGGACGCTCCGCGGAACGTGCCAGGCAGCATGCCAGGCTGCAATGCTGAGGGTATCGATGTTGATGTACCGTGCCGAGGGCTGTGCTGTGCCTGGGCGACCTGGACACGTGAAAACACACGTTTCGCTCATGACGTTCTCAGCACATCCTCATGCTAGACATCCGCCTGTGCCACCTGGACACGTGCAAACAAGCGTCTCGATCGAGACTTCCTCGACACATCCTCATGCTAGACATCCGCCTGGGCGACGAGGACGCGTCAAACCAAGCGTCTCGCTCGATCCTCAGCAAATCCTGGCGCTAGACCTCTGTCTGGGCAACCTGGAGGCGTGAAACCAAGCGTCTCGCTCGAGACATCCTCAAGACCTGGGCACGTGAAAACAAGCATTTCACTTGAGAGATCCTCCGAATTCATGTCCCCAGGAG